GGGTTTGGAAAGTCAGCAGTAACGTAAGAGCATAAAACACCTTCCCCACCCTTAAGAAATATGCAATCTTAGTGAGCATGGTGATGAGATATATGTGGTGAATTGATAGTACAAAGAAGAATGTGTCATAACTTGAGTATAAACAGTGTGCTGTGAACAGAAGGGGAGGTATTGATTTTGCAGGGGATAACTGGCAAGAGGTTCCTTGAAGAAATGATATGCATATAGGGCTTTGGGGTGTGGGTATGATTGTGACAGGTGAATGCACCAAAAATAAATTTCAGGAGAAACAGCCTTTTGTTCATTGCCCGTAATAATGCAGGCACCATGCCGGCTATAGGGACAAAAAGCAGAGAGGTGGCCTAGAATATACATACTGTGCTTAAAAATGTCAAATGGGTGAGGCCACCTGGATGGCTCAGTTTGTTGAGTGTCTGGGTGAGGTCACGATCTCACAAGTTTGTGAGTTTGAGCCCTGCACTCGGCTCTGTGCTGACAGTGCGGAGCCTGCTTCGGAATATTTCTCTCTATCCCCTCTCCTGCACATGCTCTCTTTCTCTCAAAATAAATGAATAAACTTTAATCTGTCCTCAAATCCTGTTTCTAATTTTGAGACTTTGAACAAGTTACCTAATATTTCTCTCCCTGAGTTTTCTTATTTGGTAAAATGGGCATACCAGCGCCTACTAGGAATAGTTGTGAGGATAGTCATAATGTCTTTAAGTCATCGCTATAGATTTTGGCTTTTAGTGGCCATTCAATAAACAGCAGGCATCACTTTCACTGGCAGTTTGGGCAAGAGAAGTTGCTTAATGGATTTTGGCTTTCAAGACACTGCGATAGAGGCCATGACTGGAAGAATGCATGGGAGTGAGGTGTGGGTGGGGTGAGGTGTAGTGATTGAGCATGAGCTCTGAGAGACCAGGGAGGAGGCTGAAGCAATAGTCTAGGCAAGAGATGAGGACCCAGAGTAAGGCACTGGGATGGAATGGACAGGAGCCATGACGATTCAGGTAGGAAAATGAGCTTGCTCACTAACTGAGGTAAGAGGTGAGGGAGAGAGAAAACTCTGGAATGATGACAGGCTTTCTTGTTGTCCAGCAGTTCCACTAACCTGCACCTGTGATACAGGAGGATAGGCAGGCTGAAGGAGGGGGTTTAGAGGATTACTGGGGGGTGGCGGGGGAGGGTAGTAGGTAGGGGGCATATTGAGGGAGCAGAACCTCTTAGCAAGCCCGGTGTTAAAGAAAACAAGGATGCCTTGTTCTGTAAGTGTGGGAGATGGGGAGCAGACAGCATGCACATCATGAACAAGTGAATTTTACAATCTCTAGGGTGGGCCTTGCAGTTGTGCCTTACCCTGCTCAAGGCTATCTTTCTAACACCTGCCCCATGTAGTTGACTTTCTCCTCCTAAGGTGACCCTTCTCAGTGCAGACCTCAAGATCATCTTCAGGACTCTCCCTGAGGCCACCTGCATGGGTTTCAGTCCTCCTACTTAACCTCCTCACCACAATTTCCCAGGAAACCTACTTAGCCTCTTCAGGTCTAATCCTGAATTATTTTCGAGTACACTTGTATTTAGTGCAAAGTTACTCTTTGAGGCCATTTCCTGAAATTCTAGCCAAATGTGTCAGGTGGTTTCCTACAGGTGAGAAGACACAACAACTACAGGAAAACCAAATCCCTTGCTCAGGCTTCTCTTTTCATATACCCCTGTGAAAATAAAATGGGTATCACTTATAATATATGGAAGATAAGCATCAGACCATGTAATAAAAACATACAGTGTTATTCAGTTCAGAGATGGGCGGGAGCTTATCTGTAGCTCTGGGCCCCAAGGCCTTACTCTCTCCTCCTTAGGGAGGCAGGTTAGCAAGTGTCAGTACCAAACTGGGACCTTCTTGATATCATCGGTGGGCTTGGGGAAAATTAGAAAGGAACTGACTTTCTGAGTCTACAGTTCTGTGTTGTTAAATTCCGAGTCTCTGTACTGCTTAAGTCAGTGCGGGTGCCGGCAGGTCCTCAACCCATGTTAGGAAGCCCTAACTCCACGATAGGCAGTCATTTATTTTTTGTGTCCCAGACAGAAGCGTTCCTTGATGGTGAGAGCTTACTCTTGGTACCTTGAGCAGCATATACAATGGACACAATTGGTAGTTCATAAAAGAACAGAATGTTAGTAAACAAAAACGTTTAGGTGTAAATGACTCAGGGCAAATTCTTTACTGGAGAATGGGGTGGGCCGGAAGAGAATGCTGGAGGGCCTGGGTGTCTAAAGGGAGTCAGGTGACTAGTACAAGAGAATAGAGGCTACAGACATTGATACGAATTCCACTGACATAACAGTGTTGCCTGATGAGGTCTCTGCTGACGGTGTAGTATAGTGACAAGAGCGTATGTTCTAGAATCAGACAACGCTAAGGTTAATCCAGGCTCTCTTTGTTTACTAATTACATGACTATGGGAAAACCATTTTTTTGGGGGGGGGTGCTTAATTACCTTGCTGTAAAGTAGTGATAATATCTCGCCTACAAAGGTTCTTACCATCTTTCAGGATAGAGGGTGGGACTTAGGAGACTAGCAAATAAAGACTTTCCTATCAGAGTATATAATTCTCTCTCTCTGTCTATTTCTCTATCCATCAATCATGTTAGTCTCAGTAAGTGTTCAAGATGACTATTGCTGTTCCTGTTGTTTTGTTAGCAGAATCCCCAGTACTCACTATGGTTGCTAGCACATTGTAAGCACCCAACAAGTGTTTATTGGTTGAAAAAGTTACACTGACCTGTGAGCTCTCTACAGGAAATGATTCCTCCTCCAGGCTTTCCTGGCTGAGTGTATGTCACCACTATCTGTCCAGATGTTTAAGTCAAAAGTCTTGATTTCCTGATTTATTGAGTGCCTATTAGAGAGTAGGCACTGTGCTGGGTGCTGGGATGGAGAAGGTGGGGGAAATCTGAAAAGCTAGATCCAACCTCAGCTCTCAAGGATGTTAGAGGAAAAAGGAAGCAAAAGAACTTGTCATTTGCTCAACTTTTTACCCATCTTTAGATACAGCTTATAAGTGAAGTATTTTAAGTGTTTTTGACAACACGTGGGCAAACGTGTAGAAACACTTAGAATCCATGGCCATCTGAATTGAGAAAGGCTATCAGTACCATGCAAAGGTTCCCTGGGAATAGGATATACAAATGCAAAAGTTTGGAATTCTCACCATCTGTGAAAACTAGGAAGAAACACTATTTTACTTTATTTTTTTAATTAAAATTTAAAAGATACTATTTATTTTAAGTTCTACTAGGATTCTCCACTCTGCTCTAGCCTCTCTGTGGATGAGGTAAATGGCTGGAAAGAAGAATTTAAAAGACACATGAAAAGTGACTCTTTGCTAGGTCTCTTGGGAAACCAACTTACAGCTGAGTGAGCTTGCTTAGATCTACTGGGTGTGGGCTGTACTTTATAAATATCTATCTCTCTAAATAAAAATGGATTTAGAAAAATTCTGTTAGTCTTTGGCTTAATTGTGAGTCATTAAGCTCCTCATTTGAAAGAAAGAGAGAGAGTGTGTGTGTGTGTGTGTGGAGGGGGGGTGGAGGGAGAACTCTAAGCACAAGGCATGTATGTACTTGTAAAACAGCATTTGGAATGTGTGTGTAGGAAGGGAACTTCATGGTTTTTTATGTAAGGAGAGAGTATGTAGAGGGGAAAATGTATTTGTGGTGGGGTGGGGGGCATGTAGTACAGGTGGTGCGCTGAGGCACATGAACAACCAGCCTCTTGGAGATCCAGACAGTGGTGTAAGATAGAAAATGTTGTAGATGGTGATTGTTGTTCTTTTAGACCAGCACACAGGTCTTCGAGAAGCCCTTGACTTTCTCCTCCTCCTTGTCTTGTTAAAAAGGGATTAGAGTCCAATTAAGTCCTTTAATCCCAAGGTAGAGATTCATGTTTAAAAACAAGATTTACAGCTTTAAAAAAATACATCAGTGCAAGTCGAAGTTTGTCCTTTCAAGCTGCTACCTGCCCAGTTCCAAAGAGTGTTTTCAGCAGAATCCCCAACATGCAGTTGTTCTTAATTACTTCGCCTCATACCTCCAGTCCTTCATCTTTCAAAGCACCCTCTAACCTAAATAGCCACATGCTGTTAGAAGTACTTCTGCTTCTGGATTGCCACAGTTGCCCAGTGGCGTGTCTCCCTTCATTTGGTAAATCAGTGATTGGGCTGAATAATAATAGTATTAAGAGCTAATGCTTTTTTGGGGGCTTAGCATGTGTCTAGCATTGGCACTGAGCACTTTACTTGTTATTATTATCTTATTAGGTACTCATATAAAAACATGCAGGGCTGGCTCCGTGCCTGTGTGTGACATGTATAATCACATGGGGCTCTGTATTAAGGACTCTTCACTTGGTTTAATGCTCTGCTGTTGCTGTATTGAAAGCCTTAATCGTTTTGAGCAACGGGTCTGCGTTTTCACATTTCACTGGGCCCTGCAAATTATGTAGTCAATCCTGAAAACACAGTAACCCACAGTTTCTCTTCACCTCTTTTCCTTCCTTTCCACATGATGCCTAAGACATTGCCCGAGAATGGAAGGGAAGAGCGAATCTCTAATTGTGATGCCAAAACCCTCTCTAGAAAATGGGTGCCATTATCTCGTGAGAGAGAAGTTATTTAAGGGCCAGGAACCACGTCATGGCTTTCAGCATGGGAAAGACAGTATCTGTGATGACCCGACAAGCTGTTTAACTCCTCTCAGCCTCAGTTTTCTTATCTATAAAATGGGGACAACACTAATAATACCTAACTCAAGAGGCTGTTTCAGGGATGCTGTGGGATCATGTATTTACAGCTCTGACACATAATACACATGACATTAGTTATTATTAATGCATTATGGATGCTTAACGGTACTAAATATCTAATACTGCGTATGACGTGGTGTGCGTCGCCTCCCTAACCCCAAGGTGCCCTTATCCCAGGCGTCTGTTTCCTACCTGCCCTGCGGAGCTGGGAGGAACGTCTCCTTTCTCCATGTGCTGGGTGATCACAGAGGGGTTGCTGGAACTGATGAGCACTGGGGTGCTGATCTCCACCACGTGGCGCCCCGAGGGAGCATGGGCCATCCTGTTGAGAGTGTTCAAGGCTGTTGTGATGGAGAACTGCCCGGGCCCCTTCCTCCGGGACCCAGGGCCTCTGCGGAGGGTGGCCGTGTTGGCTGCTTTGCCTCGGGAGGGTGAGGGCACCAGGGACAGGCTCTTTGTGCGAGTCGAATGACGGCCCTTGTTCTTCTCTAGCAGGTGTCTTGCAGTGAGGTTGGGCTGAAAACACAGAAGGTCCATGAGAGGGTAGTCTTCCTGACCTGGTGTGAGCAGCTAAGTCCTACCGAGGCTAGTCTGAAGCCGGTTCGGATGCAGCTTCCCCCTTCTGTCAATATGTCCCAGCTATTTGGCTATACCCATAAATTCTGACAACTCTCTTGCAAAGTAGGTACTACTCTTCTTCCTCACTGAGGTCTGTGGGGGTCAAACATGAGCCATGATGCTCTTCCCTGGTTGGGAGCACTCTTTTTTACGTGTTTCTCCCAGGCACACCCCTACCCGTTTCCTCTCTCGGCCACTGCTGAGTGCCGCTGCGTGGCTGCAGCTTCTGTGCTCTTCCACCGTGGCAGGCTACACAGCACACTGCAATCATTTCCTTTCCTTCCCCCACTGGACTGTCAGCTACCTGTTGGCAGAGAACTCATACACGTTTGTCTTGACCCCATCCCACAGCGGATGCTCAGTGAGTGCCTGTGGAATCACGTGTGCATGGGCTTGCTCGGGTTTTCCCATCTTGTAAGCATTTGAACCACACTGTAAATGTATTTGAAACTTTGAATCTTTATGCTACTTTCACTACTTCCTTTAAACACTTCGAACTCCCCACATTCCTTTCTTGTTTCGTGCCTCTTGGTCTGTGATATGCTGGTGTTTGGAGAAAGACAAGGAAAGAAAAAAGAAAAGTGCAAGCTCTGATCTGTAGAAATTTGGGAAAATGTCTCTGGTGTAATTATCTGCCAATGATTTAACAACTAGCTAGCAACACTCCTGCAGATGTAAAAGCCAGCTCTCACAATCTAGTACCAGCTAGGTCTACCAGAGCCACCACTGTATTGTATTTTGAGTTCATTTCCTTTGGAAGGCTGAGGTACGTGGACACAGTTGTCCTCCAGAGCCGTGTGCCTCATTCCACTGTAGAGATTCAACTATAAAGGTAAAAGGGAATTTGCCTAATTAAGAACTATTTATTTATTTATTTATTTATT